AACATTTTAAGAGATAGGAAAATCTGAAAAGGGTTTATGTACAGAGGGAAAATGACATAAAAATTAATCACAGAGGTCATGGTGTTGTCATTTTGCTTCAGGGAGGAACCTTCACTATTTCAAACCTTGGCATGTACGGGATAAAGTCATTCTCTGCTGTAATCAACCCTCCACAGGTAAGTAATCCTGTCCAATTCTTTTGTTTTGATAAGCATATTGGTACAAGTTCTAATAAATTTGAAGAGGAATAATTTTCTACTCCAGTCTGTGATTTGACTGCCATCAGGAATTTTGTGTGATCAAGTGGAGAAAATACATGAAGATGTTAACTTTTACAGTTTATTTCAAAATGCATGTCAAGTTTACATTGATTTATGTATGCAATATGTATGTTGTTTGAAAGTATGGTACATACGTAACAAGAGAGGTGTAAGCATTTCTGTTTTCTTTACAGGCATGTATCCTAGCGGTGGGTGGGGCAGAAAAGAGGCTGGTCGTGGATGAAGACAGCAATCAAGGGTCAGTAGATCACATCGGCAGTTAATCTATAGGCTTGGTACAAATTCATAAACTATTTGGGGAGAATGTTTTCTTGCATAATTTCTTACAATCTCCATTCTTAGAATGCTAACCTGACAAACCATTTTTTGTTGTGTTGGCCCTGAAGTTTTTTTGATATTTTGAAGGAATGAATATAAAACTGAGTTTCTAAATACTATATAATCTTCGTAAAAATTGTTCAAAAATAAAAGCACTTTCCTACTGGCTACGTTAGCAGAATCATCAGAATTGCTTTTAAGGTCTAGATGATACAGGCTATAATAGACTAGGCCCATTGAAAGTTGGGTCCCAAGTTGGTCATTATAACTTTACTCTAAATTTTGTAAAACTTTTGGAATCCATCGCAGTGTATTTATTAATTGTTACTCCATTACACAAATCAGGGGTTATGATCTTTTTGTCATGTCCTTCTCCTGGTCATCACTCCAGCAGCAATATTTCCTGACAGATTTCCATAAAACTTGACATGGGCGTACCTACCTGTATTAACAAGTTTGAATAAGAATGTTTACAGGAAATAGACTGTGATCTTTCTAGCAGTCTGTGTGCTTCTAACACTGTTACTTTGCTTCTGTAACACTACAGTATTTACGTATACCTACCCCTAAAAGTTACAGCACCATAATATTATATGTCAAATGCATTTCTATTCACAGATATGGCCAGGCCAACATGATGTCTGTAACTCTCAGCTGTGATCATCGGGTCGTAGATGGAGCTGTCGGTGCCCAATGGCTCGCAGAATTCAGGAAGTTCATGGAGCGACCAGAAACCATGCTCCTATAATGGATTATATAGGATAACGGTCCATGGAACATGAAATCTCAAGTGCTAGAAAAACAAGTGCAATCAGAAAACTGGAACAGGAACAACTGGCAGTTATAGTGCCTTTTTGTTTCTGGTTTTTTTACCCTACAGCAGTATGAGAATGTCTCCAGTGATGATCTGAGTGAACCAAAATGAAATTTCGATACATGTGTGCTGTCTGTTATGATAAACAAGTTCACGCGCAGGGTGTCATACACTGATATAACATGACACTTATCTGATGACAAGATTCAAGGCCTGCATTGATAGCTAGAAGGAATAGGAGAGTGTTCTTTGTGATATTTTCCTTAAAGTAGGATGTCTTGAGGTCTTCTAGATGTGCTCAATTTCAGACCGAAATGTCCATCCGATCAAGATACAGCATTTCTCTTCAAGGAATATTAGGTTTCTAGTTTTGTAGAACAATTTTCATGGGAGTTATCAGATCACTTGACTAGCTGCGAACCAGGGGACAATACTCTAATGATATTTGAAGTAGGAGTACAGACTTATGGGCTCACTACGGTAATAGTCACAAACACAACACTACAAGTTTACTTAAGAATTATGGTGGAGAATAATGTATTTTCTCCAATTATAACATGATAAGGAAGTAATAGGGAGTTGTTTTATAGATAGAGGAAGTAAATTACAGTCCATGTTTTTTTCTTTTAATGTACTGCCTATGATATATAAAGCCAAAGTTTATAAACCAGTTAAAATCTAAATTTGGAAAATGTAATTGTTACCTCCTAAAATGTTGCGAATAAGGTGCCTCTTTTAGTTGGGAAACCATTGCTTATTCTAGACGGCCAATTGACTTCAAGGTTCTCTTATTTTCTATTAATTTTAGAGAGTAGAATAGGATATCATTAGTGGATCTTGAATACCACATAAAAGATTTATTCTCTCCAGGTTTTTATATTTTAACAACATGTTACTTTAGTGCTATTTCATTTGACGAACAAGTTATCATGTTGTGTTTTAAGATTAAAATTTTCCCCCAGACTACTAATTATACTTTTGTACTTGTCATTGATGATGAGTAGGTATTTATGAAGACAAACATCCTGTATTCCAGCAGGCAGCACGTTTGTGATAACTAGCCACGAATGTGTCGGTTACTGATGGTACTAACCCGATACAGTATGTATGTAGTACATGGAGACGTTGATGTTTTATGCTTTATATTAGAAGGATGTCGGAGGAAGGACCGTGAGGGTGAAAACCGAGACATTGTTAAAATTGTGTTTTACCCAAACATTATGTTTGTATATAATTTATTCAAATTAAATGTTGTAAACAAATAATCTGTAGATTCCAGTTGTTTTTTTGTATTAAAGTTTGGTTTATCACTGTTAAAACGTGTGGAGTTTATCCCACCACTGATCTGAATGAGCCACTATATACATGTATATACATCCACTTTATAATCCAGCCACCACCAATTCAATAGTGCTACCAGAACTAACCTTGTAAAAATCCAGTCACTGCACCACTGCTAATCTGGTTGTCCCACTATCCAACCTCATTAATCCAGCCATGTCCCAATTATCTGATTGTGCCATTATCTAGCCTGACATCCTAATATATGGCACCACTTATATATTTATATGATAGTGACACTTTCTAGTGTGTCGTCATAATATATGGCAGCACTTATATAATTATATGATAGTGCCACTATCTAGCCTGTCGTCATAATATATGGCACCACTTATATAATTATATGATAGTGCCACTTTCTAGCCTGTCGTCATTATATATGGCACCAATTGTATGATAGTGCCACTATCTAGCCTGACATCATAATATATG